CAATGTTGGCTCAGCAGATTCTGGAGTCATGCTTTCTACCGCAGAAGCTGCATCGAGCATCTTGACAGGTCCAAGACTTGTGGCTCCATCAGCAACACTTGAAGCACATGACTGGCGATGATGCCACCCTCCTGTCCCCCACTCCCCCCTCTGGCAATTCCTCTTTTCAGGAGGGCAACGGGTTGGCTCCGCTTCTTGCCCCTGGACGCGTGCCTCTTCACCCACACAAATCTGTCATCGTCCAACAGAAAGTCTGGGCTCAGAAAGGTCGGGTATCAGAAAATGAGTGAGTTTTTCCCCAGCCTCCGGGATAGTCATCACTCGATATCATGGTGGCCCCGGCCCGTTTCATGGCCCACCTTAATTCCTCGAGGAAACTCATGGCGCAGTCCTGTGGGAATAGCAATAGTTTCCTGCCATTCACATCGGCAACATGCTGATTTCCTGCTTCGGTTCCCTCTTCGTTCTTTCTCTTCTGCTCGCTCCATTCTCATTGTCATTCATGTCCACACTTTCTTCACTTCTTTCCCTCTTATGGGATCCACTTGCAACATGTCCTTGTAAAGTAAAACTTTTATCCTCTATTTCTAATTGGGAAAGGGGGGACTTTGTTATGACAACACTAGTCATGTTGACACATGGGAGTAAGTGACAAAATGCTGGAGGGCCAGAGGCACCTCCCCGCTCCCTGTCCGGGGGGCGGGTAAACGCAAGACTCAGGATATCTCTCACGACTGAGGACAGCACTAAGATACGTCCTACTTCTACGAGAGATACACCACCACTACATAGAGAGAGAGAGACTTTGCAAACGATCTGTTTCATCAGATCTATGTATGACTGTTCTGCCTCCTAACTTTTCGAGATGAATCACCTTTCCTCAGCCTCCATGCCGTGAATAATGATTTTCTATCGTAACTTTGCAATTTCAAAAACCTTATTTTCTGGTCTGTGAGGGAGAAGATGGTGCTCAGGACACCTAAGGCATCATATTCCCTGTGCCATAGAAAAATGCTCATAATACTAATGCTACTACTTTTTACTATTATTATCATTAGGGCAATGAAATACCTCGGACTTGCCCTCCATCTTGCCCTCCCCTGCGTTATTACCTTCCTTCCTCTTTCCCGTTCCACTCTTCGGACACCCCCCCCCCCACCGATTTTAATCTGGATAAATTTAATGACTCCCCATCGACTTCCCACGGTACCCAGGACCCTACTGGTAATCGTCTGTGCCAAGTTTGACCTGCGCCCAGAAAGTAACGACAATAGTGAAATGCCCCTAGACCAAGCGATTCTGACCCTTACCGTCGAATACTTTATAACTACAAGTGAACTTATGTCTTAGTTATACTCAAAATGTTTGTTAAAAAGTCCTTATTTTCAATCATTATGTAATCGTTGTTGTTGACGCTATTGTAATTATATATTGTTCATGATTTAACCCATTGCCACCGGGGAAAATGAACAAAAAATAGGGGAAATGCAGTACTCATTTTTTATATTTTTGTGAAATATCTCTGTCCATAGATGGCTCTGCTAGTCCTGATTTCACCTTTCCTTGAATTGGCGGGAAAAAACGTATCTTTACTAGTGTTATAAATATAGATGGTGTTAAATATTTTCGTAAATTGATGAAAAGGGTGAACGGGCGAGACAGGCAGTACTCGTAATTGGCTCATTGGATACTTAGTACAAGTGTAGCCACCTATGTGTAAAAACAATCGAACAAGTCAACTCACAGTGGGCGTGGCATGTACGTACATGCCATCCCTGGCGGCAATGGGTTAATTGCATTGACATATCCAGTGTCCCTGACCAGACCTGTGACCACAAGACCCTTACACTGCTATAAAACAGAGAGTCTGTACTGACATTTCCCACGAAAGAACAATGTTGCCATATTCTTATGTTTAGTGAATATTTTGTGAACCATTCAAAATCTCAGAGAGCCGAAGTTACTCTGCCCTCAGCATCGGCTCAGGCAACACCTCAGCTCTCTCAGACTGCATTGCTCCTCCTTGGGTGTCTCTGCCACGCCTGTCCTCTGTACACCACCTACCATACTCCCGTGTTAATAAATACTAGAAGCTGTGACAACTTTAACTCAACTTCACTTCACTTCAAGTACCAAACCACCATCATACAAGAAAGAAGAGAGAGGGAGTAAGTCCACTAATGTATTATTACCACTAATGTATTATTACACTGGTGGCAATGGTGGGATAAGTCCACTGATATATTACAATAAGATGAATACTGCGGCAGCTATACGGCGACGTGTAAAAGACATTTGTAGGCTGTAGTTGCAGTTAGACTTTCACTCTTGATTTTATCTTCTATATTTGCATATGAACACATACATAAGCACATGCACACACACACACACATACTTGCTTTTTGTATATTCATACTTTTCCATATGTGGTGGTCAGACAAACCCTTGTGGAGGAGGATGCTAACGTTAGAATGTCCCTTTGGTTGGCGGGAATGTAGACGTCAAATATTTCTTCAGATGACCTAGTTACTGAGATCGCCAGGACTTTACTCTTGCAAGATAAGGGAAGCAGGAAGCTATCCAGGTGGTTCTCAAGCCTCTAGAGTGGATAAGGGATTCTATTAAAGATGTAAAGATACATGTAGTATGGAAGTGCCACGGCCACTTTATTTTTTGTGATGGCACTGCAAGAGCATATTCGCCATAAAGGCAATAACTAGTCCTACATTTCCATCTTTTTTATTAAAAATCATACAAATAATTACGGATCTAGTTTTATCTGATATCTTTTGGCAGAAATTGATTGGCTAAATGCAATGACGTCATTAGATCTACCCATTTTTTGTTCCAGTCTGTGTGACTCTATGGAAGATGGTTCTTCAATATAATTTCTTTGAAAACAATTCAGAAAGGACAACGTAAAAAAAAAATGGAAAACAAACAAAGAGAAAAGGAATCAAAACACTATAAATATTTAAAATGAATGAAAGTAAAGGGACAGAGCTTAGCTCAGCAGTTGCCAACTCGATTTTCACCGAAGCGGAGTGGTGCTACCTGTATTAAAGTACCTAGGTGCACTACGTTCTTGTATGGGGCAAGTTCCATCACATAAAGGGGGGGGGGGGTGAAGGCCACCAAGGAGATCTGCAAGTTTCCTTCACATCAACACTCTCAAACTCAATATATATATATATATATATATATATATATGCACATATGTGCGGGAAAGTTTAAGGTAAACATATCGAAGGCCGCCTCAACCTTGATAAATTATTTTCAAATTTCTCTGTTACGCTGATTGTAGCTGCAAACGGATTGTTGACTAGTTTAGAAATATCTCTAGTTTATAATTTTTGTTAGGAAATAGCTAAAAACTGCCTTCTGGATAGAAACTCACCTTAGTTCATTCAAAGCAGAAATTTCAAATTGAAATCTATAGCAATCTTCCAGTGCGCCCCAAGTCATTCCACAGATTGTTTGGGCCACACTGTCATGGCGCCGGAGTTTTCAATAGTGCTTCACAACAAAGCACTGGTTGCTCGATCCAGTCTTTTTTTAGAGATCATTGCTTCTCCCCCTCTCCAGATCTCGGCCATGATCATCCACGTGCGAGACACAGACGGGACCATGAGTTCTGTTGAAGCACAACCGACGGACACAATCCACACGCTCAGGGTGAAGATAATGTTAGCAGGCATACCCCTAAGAGACTATCAGGAACTCGAATTTAACGGGGAGCGTTTATGGGACAGCAAAGCAACGGTGTGGATGTCGAAAGTGTTACAGAGTGCGTGGAACAAGCTATGGCTGGGTTTTACGTTAACGTTGTCCAGCCGAATGGGAAGGTTATCAGGGTAGTGGCGGACAAAGCAGTGCCCGTGATAAAAATCAAGCACGAAGTGGCACGCGTAACGGGCGTGGAGGCGAGGAAGCAGCAGCTGAAGGCGGGCGGCGAAGACATGAAGGACGAGAAGAAGCTGAGAGACTATGGCATCACCCAGGAATCGGTTGTGTTCATGGAGACCGAGGGCGAGACTGGAAACAGCTTGAAGAATGTGCTCTTGGTTTCCTTTCTGATAGTAATTCTCGGTTTGCTGCTGACCTATTTAATGAATCAAATCCTATAAAGCTACTGTTTACAACCCTCCCCCCTCTCTCTCTACATCTGTGTGCGTAAGAAAGTCATCAACAATTTCCCGATATAAATCAAAACGAAAAATAAAAAAAAAATCTGTCATAGACATGATGAATGATTTGAAAGGATCACACACATGATGGACAGTGAATGATATATTTCATTATAGCAAACTCTCGTAGAGCAATATGATAATAACATAAAAGAAAATAAGTAGACAGTGTACTAAATATTCAAGGCTGTTCTATTTCTCACTAATTTATCCACGACGCACATACAGCCACGTTGCCTAAGGAGGGAGCTACAAAACAAAATCAGATGTATACTTAAACCGCCAAAGAATATAAATAAATCAGCCACATACCTACAATCGATTATTTCTTGGAATTTAACATCCTAAAATGAATTAAATCATTCAATACTGCAGTGCCTTATATGTTGATAAATGCTTACTCAGCCAAGATAACGCAAAGTCTAAGAGTAGGACAGCTTACTAAATCTTTACAAGAGACCAAAACTGATAAATTAAAATATCTCCTTAAAAAAAAAAAACACTTATAGTCACTCTATAACCTGAACTCAAACTAAATTCTCCACATGCAAAAGCTTCACGGTCCTACCATGTAATGAATAACAACGCATGTTTCTCCAATATATAGGTGTAAGCACAGATACCTCTCTAATACCAGTATGTAAGACACTGTATGGAATATCAAATAATATAACTTATATATTTTTCATGCATCTACACCAATGGCTTCTCTCTTGAGATTCTACTCGACTTTCAGAGGCTCAGCCGATCCACTGTATCTCTGCAGATTATAACCAATATGCAATTGCTATTTGGCTAAATAAACCTTGGTAT